AGAGCTCAACCCTGCCAGTTATCTTCTGGCTGCAGATCCACCAATTTAAAGGACAGAACTGTTTGGTAACAGCTAAAGTAAGAGGAACGAACAAATGCATGCTGCTGATGAAGGCAGTCAGATGAGAGAGGAAACCTGTGATGTCAGAGAAAGGAATGAGTTTCACACAGATAAGCTACAAGAGGTTTTCCAAGTAGCTTTCAGCTATTGTACAAGTTCTGACTGGAGGACAAGGAACATACTATAACATAGATAAAAGTTAAGTCTTAAGTCACATTGTCACATATTCCAAATCTATTTTCAAACCCAGTGAGAATTATCATCTAGAAGACTCAGAAGAGACAGCTCATCAGCATTTTAAATGGCATAACATAAATTAATTGCTAAGGCAAGAGACATCTCACTTGTACTTCTCTGGATAAAACACACTTTTGACTCAGTTATCACTGGGAAAACTCTCCTGCTTATATCCCACCTATACAGGAACTCCAAGTAATGCTAATCTTTATGAAACCTCAAATTAGCCTAGTATCAATGCTGGAAGAAGCAATGTTTCAAAGTTAAAGAACTGCTGTTTATATGCTTATATGCTATTAACCTAGGCTATCTAGTCCTTTGACTTGGGTCTATGCAAACACCTTTGAACCATATGCAGGAAGGGGAGAAGTGCAGACTTCACATTTAAGTGTCCTGCTCCAACCCTTAACCCCAAATCCAATCCATGACCCCAAGCATCAAAAGGTTTAGGCCAAAAGAGAAAAATGGAAGAGTTCCACAAGCTTTCAAATAGCTTCTTACAACCAAATGCCAGAAATCCAGTAGCAAAGGCAGAGCTAAGCCTGCTATTGACCAGAGAGTTTCGCCATCCTCTTTAAGGATTTCTACACAAACTTAAACACAAAGCTTAACAGGAAAAAAGTACCAAGTCTAATCACCTGAGTTATAACCACATGGTAATTTGCTCAGAGTCAAAGTGTTAAAACTTCAGTAATATGACTATTTTTCTTGACAAATTTCCTTCCTCTATTTTCTTTTAAAGTATTCTCATTTAGTCAGTTACTCAAACAGATGAATGCACCAAGACAGCACATATTCAAAACATTCTGTGGCTCACCTTTCTAAGACCATAACAGCCTGCAAAGATCAAATTAACAGCATCTTCTCCATACTCCAATAATTTGTTTTGCTTTCTCATACTAGAATAAATTATTTTTACTACCAAAAGCAAGTGAAAGAAAACAGATCTTCAGCTCAAAATATCAAACTCCATCACACTGGGAATGTTTCACCTAATCCTGAGCATTTGGATTTTCTTTTTCCTAAAAGATTAAGGTGTAAAATTTAATTTTCCCCTTGAAATGTTTTTATTATGGGGGTAACAGAAGTTATTACATAATTTACACTTGGCAGGAATCTCATCTTTTATATAAGTTCAGGGTTCATTTTTTCTGAAATATATTTTTTAAGGCTATTTCCTCTTAAAGAATTTTGTTCTGCTTTAATTAGAACCAGATTCAACTTAGTGCTTTAAGTATTCACAGAACACAAATAATTGAAGATCTTTTCAACTGAAATATGGCTAGAGCAATACATCAAAACATCAAGTACTTAAATCATGCACTGAAGAGTTTCCATTTGTTTGTTTCCACAGGCTTCTCCCCTTCCACCTTTAAACCATTCAGGTTCTTACAAGTTTTACAAACATAATTTCATACCAACGTCCAATAAAGCTACAACCATATCCCAGGGATTGTGAATACTGTATCATGCAGACTATTTGCTTTGTTTTCTTTAGCCATCAAACTGTCAGTAGAACAGCTCACAGATATTCTGTGAGCCAGAGCAGAAAGGTTACACTAGAAACACAACCAATGCAGAATTCAAAACTGATGAGGATTTTTTTAAATTTTATTTTTAGAGACCTACTGTGCCCTCACTTCTCATTCTTTCAGTTTAATCATTCACCTTCCGTGTGTTGCAAAGAGAAGGTACACAAGACAATAGCAACTGTACAGGCAGTATGACATTAACTCCCCTTCACTAAGATTTATATGATGGCAAGCAGACTGACAATTTGAGAAATTGCAGGATTAATTAAGTGAAACTTAACCATACACCAACTAACAAATATCACTGTCCCAATTTATATGAAGGTTGTGACAGCTTACTTAAGGTCTCGTTAAAAGTTAACTTAAATACAAAGGTAGTGAGAATAGTCTCATGAGCTAGAAACAGAAAGGGTAATGCTTGGAGAACTAAATGCTGTGAAAGATACACAGGCAGCTGGAAGAGGAATTCCTGTAAAAGGTTGTAAGCTACCTGTACTTTTGCCCCTAATTCAAGGCTTTTAATTCATAATGTACCCAGTTACAAGGCTCTTTATTCTTTTCCATTAATGTATCATTTAGTCAGAAGTTTCATTTAAACAAACATTCCAGCACCAAGTATTTTGAGAGGCTAAGTTCCTCACTAATGATGAAAAAAATATAAGATAAGTATTTATGAGTTTGTGTTTGTTCATTTCCATTCGCAGGGGCACGTCCAGGAAGACTGAGCACTTGCAGCACCTTCAAGTGTTGTTTTGGGTTTTGTTTTGGTCCACCCTCCCTCCACCGCCCAATCTAAAGACAGTTTTTATAACCTACTCCAAAGCTTCACTCAACTGGGCAAAGCTGGCAGCTGATACACATTTTAATCCACAGGCAGACACTTAGTTTAGAGTGACACACATACAGAAGTTGACAAGTGACCCACCATTTAGTTTGCAGTGACTGTATAAACAATCTTGTGGAAACTCTCAGCCCTTAGCCTTCCTTAGCAAAGCCATAATAAAGAACCAACTGGAACCTGTCCTCAATTACTCCCTGCATATTAAAAAAATATACCTTTTGAAGTTAGTTAATAAACAAAGCATTTCAACTAAGTCATGTTCCCCAGTAGCTGAGAGTGAGGTTTTAAATGCTTCCAAATATGAAGTCTACAAAACTAAACACCTTTTACTTTTCTCAGGTAAAAAAAAAAAAAAAAAAAAAAAAAAAACCTATTTTCTCTCCTTAGAAATACTCGACCTGTCTTCCCTACCGATTCAAACATTAAATTAAGTTTTTACACAAGTCTCAGGTAAGATGTTAACAGTTAACAGCTTATCAAGACTGGTCCAAACCCAAATCCTGTTCAAAAAAAAGCAGCATAACTGACAAAAGCACTCGACTTGCTTTAGTGTTTGAAAAAGGTCAGCCCAAAGTGTTTTCAGATTCTGCTTATACCAATGTCCTCTATGCAGCTAACAAGAATCTCTTATTTCTCATTTAGTCTTCAATCCTAAATGCCCGAGAATATGTATAGATTATATTCCAAAAACTTAAATTTTTTATAAAGTATCATACTTTCAAACACAACTGCAACAGCACAGCAATCACTTATGTCAAATTGATATCCTACTTAAATATGGCTGTTCCTAAAGATTTTAGAAGAGTGACAATATGTAGATTAAATCATAAGCACCACTGACAATTCATGCCACTAAAAAAAAAAAAAAAAAACAACTAAAAAAAAAAATGTTTTCAGCATGAGTAAGTAGTTCTAGTACATAGGACCACCTCCATTACTCTATGCCAATATACTGAAACATTGCTCACAACTGAAAGGAACAGCCAGATACCATTTTTAGATAAGATCTTATTGAGTGCCACACAGTATCAGTTCCAAATTACTCCCATTCAAAGTAAATACTATGGCATCACTGGGAACTTAAGCCACAGGGGTGCACTTCAACATGCATGGTGACCATGTAGATACAGAGTTAAGTGAGGGTAAGTACCTTCCACCCCCTCCTCCTGCCCCCATGAAAAGAGTGCTGTCATTAATGCATCTGCTTCCCACTCTTCTTTGGTTTACTGCTGCAAAATGAAGCTTTAGTATCATTACTGCTTTCTTACAAACCTGCAAAGAGTCATCCTTCAATGGAAAGTGCTGGAAGAGATTGTACAGCATGAATCCTTGTCTAAACTATAGGAAGGTGCCATCCTAACAGCAATTCTAAATTAGGAGGATAGCACTGAATACTTTTCATTCCAGTAGCAAAGCCAGTAAGAACTGTGATAGCCACAAGAGCACAAAGTAATCCAAAGCACGGTTATTTCAGCATCACTACTGACAACAAAAAGTGAAGAATCACATTAGCCCAACTTCTCCAAGGCCAGCTTGGTTATGTGCACACACAGGGGAAGTAAACAGTTCACCGGTTTATACATCTGTTCTCAAACATACATCCTTCACTTCTTTTAGAGAAAAGCACACATCATAGATGCTCATTTTACTTCCAATTTGTGCTGCAACAATCTTTCTACACTGTGAGCCTAGCATCATTGGTAGCTGGTTTTTTGTTGTTTGTTTGGGTTTGGTTTTTTTTTAAATAAATACAACTGTAAAAATCAAACACTCAAAGCTCATATCAAGTTACTGTGTTGAGTGTGAAACTGCTAGTAAAACTCCAGCAGAAAACACATCTCAGGCTTCCTCTGCTCATTTTGACTGCAAGTATTGATGTTGTTAGTGTGATATCAAATAAGTCCAGTCTAGAGGAAAAGGAGTTTGCATTGGTGTTTCCAGGTTAAACCAAATCTGTCAGTATTTGATGTCACAGGAGGAAGATTCTGTATTTATGTTTTACATACTAGACCAAAGAGGAGTCTGGAATTTCCAAACTCTTCATGCAAATCAACAGTAGCCACTCAGCAGTTAAACTGAAAGTTTTAACAGAAGAACTTCACACTGCAAAAGGGTCAATGACTATAGAACGACACACATTAGCATTTCAGCTTGGAAGTGATATCATCCCCTTCTTTTTAACACCTTCCTCAACTGAAGTCTATCATAGCGTTCACTCCAACTACTACCAACAGCTACATGACCACTCATTTACATTAGATTAGCAGACTTCAAAGTCTGAAATTAGAGCACGAGTGACAAACTGCACAAACTCTCCCAGTTTTTGTCACTTAATTTGTATTTTGAAAATGCATGCACCTTGGCCACAGAAAACTTTGAGAGGAAAGCTGCTGCATTTCCAGCGTTTAGGAAGCCGTTTATACAAAGCAGAAATGTAATCACATACACAAGTTCAGACAGTATCAAAACTTGTCCTTGCTTGAAGGGGTATGATTGCACATCTATGACCAAAATGAAGTAACCTTCTCCAACACTTTAGAAGGTGTGGCCCTTAAGTTTGCTTATAAACTTTGAGGCTAATTTTAGGCATGAAGCAACAACCCCCTACAGACTCATATTGCTGCTTAATTCCCTCTACAACACTACGTTTTTTGTTTGTGTGGGATTTGGGGGTTTTTTGTGTGTTTGTGTCTTTTTTTGGTTTTGTTTTTTAAGAAACACATGAATCTAATAAAGTGGCTGAATAAAATCTCATGATGTCTGTACAACTACATCAACAAGTAGTGCTAATTAAAAAAGAAAATTCGTAAAGCAATACAGTTGCCATTAAGAACCAACATCCACCATCTATGCATTTCAATGATTTCTACTTCAAAGCAGAAGTGACCAGGATGCATGAACTGCTCTCCTAGAGCACAACTTCCAGTTTAGTTTCATCCAAAAAGATTCAAAATCAAGTGCTCCGAGACCATCCCACGATATTAATGAAAGCACAGCAGGTGAGGCTGAGATTTGCTTCAAAAAAACATTCCCAACTCCAATTAAAATACTAACACAGATGCATCCTAAATTCACAGGTATGCACCATATGAGCATATTCCTGAAACTAGCCCTTCCACAGTTTGTTCATTCTGTTTAAATGATTTTACAGCTGAAATTGAAGTGTTTCACTTCACAGATAACAAATGTGAGAAAGAGACTGGAAGTAAGTCAGTGTCTCAAGTGTCCCAAAAAAAACTAATGTAAGAAAAGGAGTGATTGGGTTGTGCGGCATTTTTGTTTGATTGGTGGTTTGGTTTTTTTTAATAGCAGTCAAAGCAATGTGTATCACCAGAGTATAGCAAGGCATGATGAAAAAGGTACATCAAGCTGTGAACTCTATTATAAACTCTCCTATGTACTGTTCAGCAGCAGAATTAGAACTCACTATTGCACTGCAACCTAGATGTGTGGAAGGATGAGTCCTGAGGATGTGTCTAAAGACAGGCAACCAGAGAAAAAGTGACTGTTATCAGAGTCACTTTAGTTATCCGAGAGCATGTCTCTTTCCATTTCACCTGCAGATCTGATAGATCTGTCTTACATTGTTCCTTGCACAATAGCCATTTCTGCCCAGCAGCTTAGTAAGAAAAACTGAATTCATTATAATGTTTATATTAACCAGCATGCTTTATCCAGGTCTTTTTATATGATTTGCCAGCCAAAAATGCTTTTTCAGAGATGGAAAGGCAGGGGAGGTCCTGTTCTAAGGAGCTTGCATTTTCAAAGAGGATTGTAAGCTTCCGTCCTAACTTAAGCCAAGAGTTTTGGTCTAGCATAGTTCAGGAGTGCAATACTCTCACTCATGGAAGTCTGACTGAAACAGAATTTGCGAGGGGTGGAAGAGGTCCAGTTATTTAAAACAAGTTGCATCTTGAATCACTGTGTGGTAGCATAACTATCATCACAATGCACCAAAATACCAGATGAGTAACTTTCTTATTAAAAAAAAAAAAAAATAGCGCTACCCCCAAAATTCTTCAATTTGTCTGACTCACTGTAGAACTTCTCCCTGGCATCCTGCTATAAAATCTGAATAAACAGTAGATACCTGAAGAAGATATCACACCCAAGTAACTTGCCTCTAGTTCTTTATTCTAGGGAGAGGGTTATTCAGCCTAGATCAAGTTCAGTGTAAAATTAAATAGTTGGTAGAGCAATATTTAACTTAAACATCCATTCAGATGTAGAGATAACACAGAACAGAATGAAGGGTTCACCGTGCCTCAGTTAAAGAGGGAATATTCTCCAACAACAATCCTAGCTTGCAAAATAATCAGTTACATAAGGCAGCAACTTCCCCCTCCTTATGCTACAAGAGCCCAGGACAGAAGCCTTGTGTTTATCATCTGCTTTTCCATTTGTACAGTAGAGACTAGTTTAGAAAAACCAAAGCTGCATTTTGCAGATTGAATTATTCCCCCTCAAGGTTCCTTGGAAGAATAGCTAGCTTCCTTCATCCATTCAGCAGTGACCTTGTTCTCAGTAGTAAGAAATACACCTCGTCTTCATTATACGTTATAGCCCAATTTCTTCATAGTAAAAAACTTTGTTTTGTGCCACTGACCTGCAATATTTTAATACTCTTATAAAAAAAATACCCAAGCCCAAGATACACATATTCAAATAACTGCATCAGTAACACCTCTGAGGAAGTAAAATACAGACAGATGCTGTCTACCATGATACTATAACCCTTCTTCATTAGACTCATATTTTAACAAAATAAAGGAAGACTTATCCATAACAGGCTTCACTCACCAAGATAAAGACTCAGTTCCTTAAAGGACATGGCAATAATTATACATTCCACATCCACAAAAGAGTTTCAAGTGTCTTCTTCGTTCTGCATTGTAGAGGCAACCACTTACCTAACAAATACAAGCTAGTTCACTTGCTCACTGGTACAAGTACAATAAAGGATGGCAAACCTTTTGTTCTTGAATTATTCAAAAGCTGCACAGGATTAACATGCAGCAACACGGGGGAAAAAAGAGGTGCCAGTAATTCAGTCTTCTCTAACAGGAACACAGATTTTCACAGATTTCATACACCAGAGTCCCCCTGCCACACAACCTGCCCCCCCTGATTTTTGTTATCAGGGAAGAAAGAGGGGGAAGAAATCAGTTATTACCTGTGATTTGTGGAATAAGCTCAATTACACTTTTTCCCCACAGATCTACTACTGCTATTCTAGCTGAACATCCATGACAGTGAGTTACCCACGTTTTCATCCCATGCAATAACAGTGCAGATAGCATTTCAGGGGCAAAAAGATTTTACACAAGTTTGAGTGCTTGGATTGCAGGGTAGAAAACTTCATTCTATAATTAAAATCACATCAATTTTGTTTTTATACATTAAAACACACTCATAGATAGTAGTCATACCTTCCTCCTACTGCGTCGTCTTGTGGCTGGGCCCCAGCAGTGTTCCTCTGTGAACGTCGCAGTGACCCCCCTGGATTGTTATTAGGCCGGTTGGACATTGGCACCTCTCTCCTGAAGGGACATACCCTTTCTAGACACTATCATTCACTGAAAGACAAGAGAGATACAGTCATAAGACATTTAGCATGAAGACACAGCCATGTCTCAAGAGGCAGATGTAAAATACTATTGTTTAAGCAAAAACTTAACTAAAAATTGTTTAAAGGTTTTTGTCTTAAAAGGCACATGGACCAGATTCTTCTCAAGAGCATTTAGACCACGGGGCCTCAAACTACGGCCCGCGGGCCGGATACAGCCCCCCAGGGTCCTCAATCGGGCCCGCCGGTGTTTACAGAACTCTGCCCCCACCGGGGGTTGGGGGGGAACCAAAGGCTGGAACCAGCGCCTCATCCTCGACCTGCCCCCTGCGGTGGGCGAGAGGCCGAATGGAACATCTGAAATCTCCAATCAGACCCAGACTGACTGATGAACACTGGCATCACTTGCTGCGACTCGCAGTGACAAATACGGAACCTGACACTGACCATCTCATTAGCCAAAAGCAGGCCCATAGATCACATTGAAATATTATTTGGTTTTTGTTGATTACAATTATTTTTCATTTTAAATATCGCAATCTTTTTCCTGGTTTTTTTGTGCACTACTACAAATAAAATATGTGCAGTGTGCACAGGAATTCGTTCATTTTTTTTTTCCAAACTATAGTCCGGCCCCCGACAGTGTCTGAGGGACAGTGAACCGGCCCCCGACAGTGTCTGAGGGACAGTGAACCAGCCCCTGACAGTGTCTGAGGGACAGTGAACCGGCCCCCTGTTTAAAAAGTTTGAGGACCCCTGATTTAGATCCTTAATACAGAGCAATCAGTTTTCAGCATTTAGAGCATACAGATGACTGACTGGACTGACCTTTAAAGGTCCCTTCCAACCCAAACTATTCTATGACGAAACACTTCTTTCCTGGCAGGCTTCTATTTTTTAAGAAGACAAGACAAATGCAATTTAGGAGAACCTATATTTGTCAACATTAAGGAAAAATCACACTAACTAGTAAAACTCAATGCTTGATAGCAATAGTATTTAAGTATTTTAAGTCTTATTGTGGGAGATGGCATGAGTGTATACAATTATTTAAAAAAAAAACAAACAAAACAACAATATGATGGCTTTGTATTACTACATTTGGAATTGCTTTGTGACTGCTAGAGGCCTACAGATATTAATTTGGTAGTTATTTTTAGAAGACTACCATAACACCCAGCTGCAGTCCTCAGAAACAGAGGTATTCCAAGATCAAGCCTCACTTAGCTCCTCAGTGAAGAGGTAACTTTTGTACCCTGTGCTAAATTGGCATTTCTATAGAGAGGACAGTGACAGGGCCACAACCAGCAAATCCAGTTTTACTGTTTCTAATTGTGTAGAATCTGGTTTAAAAAATATATATATAAAATTAAAAAAAAAAAAAAAAAAAAAAAAGGATTTCCAGGCGAAAAAAGACACAAGAAGGAAAATAACCAAAGTTTATGGACACAATAGTCTATCTGTTGATTCAGTATCTATTATATCTATAGTATAGATATATGCATCCCAACAAAGAGGAAGGCAGGCAA